ACTCATTGAGTTTGTTTTGTTATTGATGGCATCAATAAGAGACTGTGATTGTGAGGTTGGTATTGACAGTGTAATGACAACTGAACCATAATCAAAGCTAATGTGACTGAAGAGATTTGATGTTACTCCAAAGAAATGCTTGAGGACTGTCTTGAGTTTACTTATTGTCATTTCTTCCCATCTGTCATTCAGTTTAATGACAACTAGTTTTGTTTGATCGCTAGTGGTTGGTGAGGCTGCTGCTGGTAATGATGACAATTTCTCTTTGATTGTTGATCGTATGTGCTTCAATTGTGATGATTCTGAGAATTTATCAACACTATCAATGTATCGAGTTAGTTCAGTTTGCTGTGCTTTTGAAAGGGAAGTGTCTGTCAAGTGTTGAAGTACACCACCACAACTAAAGAAATCATAATGAGGCTGAAGAGAATCAAATAGTTCATCAACATCACCATATTTCAAACTGGATACTGGGATTTTTAAATAAATAGCTGCTCTTCTAGCTATATCTATAAGCCTCACTTTATTCTTTTCCACCAGCTCCTCAAACTCTCCTCTCATCTTGAAAACAAGAGATGCAAAACGAGAATGAAGACTTTTAATGTTGGCAGCAACTTCACTCTTTGAACTGAGCTCAATGACAGTAGTAGGAGTAGATGATTGTGATCCAGTGATTGTTGGTTGTGGTGTGTGAGATTGTGCAGTGACATCCACTGGTTGAAGTGGTCCCTTACTGACTGATGGTTGCTGCTTTAGATTAGGATCAACATGACCACCTTTCATTTCTATTATAAAGAAATAAAGAATAAATAAATAGGGTATAAATTATTGTATCTTACTTAAGTTTTTCATTAGTTTAGATGCCATGTTCTTTAGTCCTACTTTTTGCAGTGAAGTAATGAGAGAAGAGAACACACTGTTAGGATTAGGATGATACTTAAGTGTTGCTAGTACTGAAGAAAATATTTTATTAGCTCTATCATAAGGAGTGAGAGCTGCAGTATTTTCAACAGTAACATGTACTGCTTTAGGAATGAGATCAGATGAAAAGAGATGATTATTTAACTGAGAAATAACTGGAGCATTTCCTGCTAATAGATCAACAAGATCAGCTAACATCTCTTTCATTGTAATGTATTCTGGTGGCATTGATCCTTCCATTGGTTTGAATGATGATGGATCTTTCTTCCCCTCATCTTGCAGTACAGTTGCTATTGGATCATGTGGAGCTGATGATGAATCTTGGGATTGCCTTGGCTTAGGTGCTGGTGGTGGAGGTTTTTTAGATATTGATGGTCGGTGTGGTTTAGGTGCAGTTGTTGGAGGCTGTGCTTTTGGTAAAGATTGTTCTGTTATTGATGATCGGTGTGGTTTAGGTGCTTTTGGAGGAGGTTGTGTAGTTAGTGACAGTCGACGTGGTTTAGGTGCAGTTGGTGGAAGTTGGGCAGTTTGTGAAAGTGGTCGCGGTTTATTTGCTGTTGTCAATGATTGAGATCGTCCACTTTGTGATAATGATCTTGGTTTAGGTGATACTGGGGGAGGAGACTTTGGCATCCTTTGTGATGAACCTATTAATAGTAATTTATTAAAAACTGACATGCTTGCTCATTACTTTAGCTAATTTTAATCCACTTTTTAAACATTTATATACCTTTTATTTTTTCAGTAGCTACTCTCATTTCATGTAGCAGTGTTGGATGTTCTTCAAATGCTTTTCTAAGAAGAGACATTCCTTCACCATCACTAGCAGCATTTCTAATCTTTCTTATAGTATCAGCATCAAACAGTGGTAGAGACTCCTCCAGTTGTCCTTTGATCAATAACTCATGAATCTCTATCAATTCAGATACTTTTAGTATATCATCTGGTATATCCATTAATGCAATAGGAGAGAGTGGAGGACCTCCTATCAATGGCTTGTTTGCACCTGTAGGAGGATAGAGCATTCAAATAACTGTAGCAATTATCTCAATTGAAGTATTTCATAGTTATCATACTACATGCCAATCAATTATGGCTTACTATAAATTTTACACATAATTTAACAAATTTAATATTTTACATTACAAATAACACTCCTCCACCAATCTCTGATAATAATTTTTGTATATCTTGAGTCTAGTAATGTAACACTCACCAGTAGCAGTACTGTGTACATCATTGGTTCCTTTGATATCATTACCACTGATCATAGCATTATGTTCTATAGAATACACACACACACACAGTCAATACTAATATAATCAGTGATATTAACTTACTCTCTTGATCTAACTTTTCAGCTGCAGCATTCTCATTCATAGATTTAAGAGCATCTGACAGTGAGTCAAAGGTAGCTCCTCCTTTACTGTCAACATTATCAGCTCTGGACAACCACTGGGAAAGACACTCTGTCAAGCATCCAGATACATCACCAGGATGATTTCTTTCAATAGCGTCCAGTGTGTTCTTGTGTAGTCCTAGTGTTAGTCCTAGTTCCTTCCATCTCCTCTGAGGGAAACCACATCTCTTCAACAGATTAAGTACATCAATAAGTTGCTCTAAAATCATATTCAATGATACTTAGGTACATGTAGTTAATGAACATTACCTATAGTCAAAGGAGAAGAGAAGAGACTCAGAGAAGAGGAACAAGAACTGGTTTTAGTTGCCATTGATCAAAGAACAAGCCTATAAGCCAATAACTCTCGATCACTAACCGGATTCAAGCTTTTAAAGGCTAGGCATGCATGCAAGGAATGCAAAGGGTGGGGCTCGTTATTTAAAATGACACCATAGATATTAAATGACAGAGATTGGAAACGGAAGCGTGGGCGTAGCCCAACCTCCATTCATTTGTATTGCTGCTAGGCTGACAGAGGCTCGTTGAAATTTTTTGTCACAATTTACCCTTGATTTTTTTTCTCTTAGAAACAATATCTCGCGAACAAGTGTTCCTATGCAAGTGGAATTAATGCATCAAGAAGCCTAATGTTTCCTCTTAATAATTCTGTTTTCTATTGTATAGATAATTTTACTATGTTCATGTTATGGCTCTTTTAAAACCATAAAATGTATTTTTTGTCATTATAATCCCTTTTTTGAAAACAAGCTAGAGTAACAGAGGCGTATTTAGGGGGGGGGTGGCTGAGGGGGCTTGAGCACCCCCCTCAGGGCTGGGCTCAGAAAAAATTACTAAAGTCCTGGACTCTTGCATCACTACCAAGCCTCTTAACAAAGTTATCTAGCCCCCTGATCATGATTTCAGCAGTTTCTAGTGCTTTAAGGAGCAATCAGAAGTACCAGTAACATAGCAGTATGCTTGAAATGATCTTGGCCCCACCCGTAATTGACGAAAATGCAGGAAAAGGCCATTTTACCGCCGTAAAAGTGGGTGTGGCCAAAATCGCGGCGCGCTTCGCGCCCTCAGCACACCCCTCATCCAATTTCTAGATACGCCCCTGAGTAAGATACAAAATCTTTATAATCATATGAAAGAGCTTTCATTTGCATATGGAATGATACTAGTTAGAGTTAGAATCCATAAAGCATGAGTTTGTTACAACAGAAAAAGGGCGAAAAATGAAAAAATTTTGTTGTACCTATAACTCGTTGCAAAATAGCGTTGTAGAAGTAAAAACCTTGCTGCAAGTCCTAAACTTTCTATATAGAACGGTAGGTATATCATAAGTAAGCGTCCTCTTGGATTTTCATAAATATCCTTCGAAGTCCTTGCAGCACAGCCTCACTAATGGAGGAGATGGGAAATCAACCAGGTATTGGGCCGGTAACCAATAGCAACATCAACTAGCCTACTCCCCCGTTTCGAATCCCTTTCATTTACTCTATTATCTATGATGACACGTTAAGGTATCAATTAATTTTGTTTATTTATTTAATCTATTTAACATATTGACAGAATGTGATAGTGGATTATTATTTATACTTTATTGTTCTCATCTCTCTCCTATCCTTTCTTTCATTTTCTCTCTGGTAGGAGCTTGTAGCTTTAAAAGACTCTCATGTTTTTAATGAAATTAATGTAAGTAATGTTACGTAATGTATGTTTTTAAATGTAATTTATTAATTGATTGATGTTAGAGAGTGTTTGAGTGAGCATTTCAGGTTATTTTATTTTTAAATATTTCAGAGAAGTACACAAAGCTACTTTTTCCAAAAAATGGCTCCAAAATGTTTTTAAAATGTTATTCATTTTCTGATGCATATTAATGTCCTTATGCAAAGTTTGAGCTGACTCTGATTTAAATTGACTAGTCCTAAAGTGAAGGGGCTGGGTGACAAGACTAAATTATGACCATTTAAAAAAGGCTAATTTTTGAAAAATGCCCCGTGCGTTTTTTAATTGGCTCTGAAATCACCCTAATATCTTAATACATTTCCTAAAGCATATTGATGTCTTTATGTTGTTTAAGGTACATTTTTTACATTTAAAAAACAAGCCAACTTTTGATAAGAAGCAATGACTATGACCTATGGTTTTCTAAAATTGGCTCCAAGTAAATTCCACTTAAGTTCTGGTATGACATAAAGTTAATAATCCAAAACCAAACAATAAATAAAGCACCATCTCCCCTTGTCTTATTGTACTGTATTATCTGGTATATCCATTAAGGCAATATTAGAGAGTGGAGAACCTCCTATCAATGGCT